CCTAACGAAAAACATATTTTAGGATTCAAATAGAGTTAAAGCCATGATTCATTTGTCTGTTTGAACCCATTATTTTTATTTATTTCGTACTGAATTTTACATAACAATGCTAAGAAATCCATTTGATGTTCTAATAAGGTTATTTAATTGAGTTCGGTAGAGCTCAAACCAGACCTATGAAGGGAGATTCGATTATATTGTGGATCACGAAGAGCAAGTGCTTAGGCGTAGCATAATCAAATATGTAAAAGAATATGGAAAGATCACTTAGAGAGAAGAAAGTATGAAAAATAAAAAATTCTACACAAGAAAAGTATCTAGTACTCTTTAAAAATTAAGATATGTTAAGTTTCGAGGACGAAACTTTTTAGTAGGAGGGAGGAGTGTAATAACCCTAAACAAATTTTTTATCTAAGATTCTCTTTAAAATAAAATAAAAAAGAAGAAGAAGAAGAGGAAGAAATGTGTGCAAATAAAATATTGATAAGGGATCATGTGCAAGGTCCCATTCCTTTAGCTAGTTTTTAGCCACCTGATGGGTTTAATGGCCTCAAGCCATTAGAGAACAAAGTCGGCACCTCCTTAGGATGATGATAAAGAGCAAAGGGGGAAATTTTCATAAAATTAGTGAAAATTAAAGGAAATGTACCAAAACCCATCCTCCACTATAAGAGTTCTTGCCGGAGAAGAATCCTCTACTGGAGAAGAGAAAGAAAGAAAGAAAGAAAGAAAGAGAGGAAGGGAAATCACATTGAAACCCAACTCAAATTGAGGTACAACTCATCTTCATCGTTGAGGCTATTTGTTTTATTGAATCAAAATAGATGATGACTACATTTGAATTAAGAATTGAGCTTCAAATATTAGGTTTTAATTTTGTGAGAAAAAAAGATCAGACGAGGGCCTCACTGCCGGCGACCTCTGGCCGTTGGCTTCTCCCCATAGCCATCTCAACCACTAGCGAGCAAGAGGTTAAATATGGCCTCTTGAGATTTGAAACATTAAAAAAATGAGAGAAGAAAAAAGGAGAAGAAGATGAGTTGGGTATC